TTTTACTCATCTCCCTATTGGCTCTATCTCTGCAGAGGCCCTAGCGTTAACTCGTTCTCTCCTAGATCAGAAAATTGCCGTGTGATGGACCCTCATTTTCCCTTACCCCATTCCCAATTATCTGACTTCCCTGACAACCCACAGAACACTATGTTCCGTAGGCAGGTAGGGATTTCCTGCTTTCTGAGCCCATACAGCTCAGAAGATACTCTGCTACTAGAGGGAGACTTTCAGGGAACAATTCCCAACATTGCCTATACTCATACAAGTCTGGTTTCACCAACTGCTGTGCAGACCACATGCAGCTTCGCTTCCCCATCTCTTCTCCCTCGAGTTCCGTTCTCAGTTTATTTAAAACAAAATGCCCTATGGGATCTGAAGAAGTTCTCCTTCCTTGCCCACTCATGTGAGCCTCTTCCCTTTCCTTCTTAGTTCCTACTCTCTAAATTTTCAGTAAAGTCTTATTCGAATGTCTCTGATTCAGAGAAACTGCCTTCATTTTTTTTTTAATCTTATTGGAAGAAACTGGTACTCTTATTTTCTCTCTATCTCCTTCTTGGAAACCACCGTATTTTGCTTTGTGTTTCAGTCTTTCCTCTGCCTATCTGACAGCAAGGCCTTGAGGCCAAGACTCAGGTCCTTTATTGTTGTATTTAAGTTCCAACCTGGACCTTGTAGCTATTAACTGCCCCACAAAATTGGTGCTGAAGTTAACTGCCCCACAAAATTGGTGCAAGAAGTGTGGTTTGAGTAAGACCATAAAAGTCCACAAAAAACAAGTCTTTTCTGGCTTCCTCTTTAAGAAAACTAACATCTCAACCAGTAGCAGAGCATAACCACCAATGTTTGAACAAAGATGGGTGCAATGAATTCAGCTTCTCTTTATTTTCTTTCACCAGAAATTCTGATTCCTGTTCCTTAGTGTCATTCTCAGGACAATTCTGGCCTGACTTCGGCTGTGTTAAAATTTTCTCCGGATAAGGAGAAAACAATTCAGATGTGCTGTGTAATGGATTCTCTACTTGAAGCACAGTTGATGTTTTATCGGGGACTGGGATCAAACCACAAAATCTGTCAGGTTTTTGCAATTGTATTTCCTAACACTCCCTTGAAGGCCCTATTTCTCTTCCCCGCATGCACATTTCCAGCTGGGTGAGCAGAACGGTGACTGTGTAGATAAAGCGCCGACCTGCCCGGTCCTGCTGGAGTGAAGCAGATGGGAAAAGGCAGGTCTCCACATGACCCGATTAACAGTGAATAGTGGCCCAAATGTTGTGGAACTTCTGGGTTTATCCTTGCAAAAGTCGCAGAGAGACTTGCTCTTTCAGAGACTTCCTATAACTCTTACCAGATATATGTGCTTATGGAGAGCAAGTTGTTTTTTTGTTCAGTAAAGACAGTGGTGAGGAATAAAGCTTAGAAGCGAGAAATATTAGATTAGTTAGGGAGGAAATTAGTGGCTAAGACAGAGGATTGCTTCTTGGGGGAAAGAATTAGGCTTGTAATTAGATAAATGTTTATGTGCTGCTGAGACATAGGAATTTATGAGCTTGGAGTGAGGAGAAAAGCTTTTTAGAAGATTAAGAGCAAAAGGCTGCTTAAAATGTTGACACACCCAGACAGTTAGCACATCCTTAAGGGTAAATCTCTCAGAACACTGAGAATGTACAGGACTGCAGAGATAAGATGATGTTATCAGTCACCTTAGTATATAAATGAGGAATTAGAGACCAGCATGGGTAAATTGGCTTGAGGTTAGTGGTTAGAGTTAGTTAACTGGCATCAGATTAGCTGAATCAAAATCTAGGTTTTTGTTTTTGTTTTTTGTTTTTTTTTTTTTGGTTTTTGTTGGCCATACCCAGTGGTGCTCAGGGTTTACTTCTGGCTCTGCATTCAAAAATCACTCCTGGAGGTTTGCTCCATGGCTTGGAGGCCAGCCGCACTCACTAGGGGGAAAAGGCAGCTCAGATAGAAAAGAGAGCCCCAAATAAAGGGTGTTGGGAGGATTCTCCCAGGATGGGAGATGCATGTTGAAAGTAGACTATAGACCGAACATGATTACCACTCAATGCCTCTTTTGCAAACCACAGCACCCAAAAGGAGAGAGAGAACAAAAGGGAATGCCCTGCCACAGAGGCAGGGTGGGATGGGAGGGATGGGAGGTGGGAGGGATACTGGAATTAGTAGTGGCAGAGAATGGGCACTGGTGGAGGGATGGGTACTTGATCATTGTATAAATGAAACCCAAGCACAAAAAATTGTAAGTCTACTTCTGTACCTCATGGTGTTTCACTAATAATTTTTTTTAAAAAAATCACTCCTGGAGGGGCTCAGATGACCATAAGGGGTGTCTGGGATTGAATCTGGGTTGGTTGTGTACAAAGCAAGCACCGTGCCTGCTGTACTGTCTCTTTGGCTCCTAAACCTGGAGCTTTTGATCCAATTCTAATGTTGTGTCTATAATACCACATATAATACTATGAATGAAGAAGGTAATGTTAGCTGCCAAGAGAGAAGATTCTAGTTGTATAACGATGAAGCTAATAAAATGTATGCAAGGGCTGGTCCCCCTTGCTAACTTCATGGAAAATACACACACACACACACACACACACACGCGCGCGCGCGCGCGCGCAAGATCAGAGTTAATATCTGTTTATGGCATATCCTGTACCATGTCCTTAGTCATGAACATAGAAACTTAATCAGATGAGCAGAAACACGATGATCTCTCAAAAAATTTCCAGCTTGCTTTTAAAAAGCAGTCTCTCTTTGCTGCTTAAAAATTACAAATGTATAAAGCTGGAAAGATAGTACAGCACGTAGGGCACGTGCCTTGCATTTGGCTGACCTGGGTTCTGTCCCTAGCATCCCATGTGGTCCCTCAAGCCCACCAAGAGTGATCTCTAGTACAGAACTAGGAGTTACCCCTGAGCATTGCTGGGTGTAGCCCCAAAACAAAAACAAAAAATTACATATGGTAAAGGAAATAATTCTAACCTATTATATAGGTTATAGACCAATAAATAACAAGCCCAGCACAAAGTAGATACAGAGGAAAGTAAGTTAAATAATACACAGTGTATAATAGACTAATGACACTTTGTTTTGTGCATTATTTTGTATATGCATATATGATAGGGACAATAATTTATTCAACAAACTTTTCTGGAGGATCAGCTTTGTGCATATGGAGGAGACACACAGAAGTCCCTGACCTCTAGGAGCTTATTTTCTAGACCTTAATTTCATGGTTCTGGACCTATTAAAACAGTGGTCTCAAGACCCACCTCCTTCCAATTCCAGGTTTTGATAAAAACTCTAGATTAAAAAATTGAGAGGTTTGCAAGGTGGGTCACACCTGGATGTGCTCAGGGCTTACTCCTGAATCTGCCCAGAGATCACTTCTGGTAATGCTTGGGAGACCATATTTGGGGCCAGAAATCAAACCTGAGTCCGCTCTGTTCAAGGCAAGTGTCTTACCCGCTGTACTATTTCTCCAGCCTCATTTAGAATATTTTTAATATCCCCACTCACCTATGGGTATGGTTTTAAATTTTTTTTATTGAATTGCTGAGATACACAGTTACAAAATTGTTCATGATTGGTTTCCAGTCATACAATGTTCCTACACCCTTCCCTTCCCCAGTAAACATTTCCCACCACCAATGTCCCCAGTTTCCCTCCTACCACCACCACCCCAGCCTGCCTCTATGGCAGACACTTTTCTTCTCTCTCTCTCTCTCTCTCTCTCTCTCTCACTCTCTCTCTCTCTCCTTTTCAGCATTATGGTTTGCAGTATAGGTACTAAAAGATTACATGTATATATCTTTTTAAAAAATTATTTTATTTCATTTTTTAACTTTTTTATCGAATCACTGTGAGATAGACGCATACAAAGCTGTTTTTGATTGGATTTCAGTCATGTGGTATTCCAACACCCATCCCTCCAGTGTAGCTTTCCCAGCACCAGTGTCCCCAGGTTCCCTCCCATCGCCCTTCCCCCTACCCCTTGCCTACCTCTATGGCAAACGCTTTACCTCTCTCTCTTTCTCTTTCTCTCGCTCTTTCTCTATCAATCTCTCTTTCTCCTTTGAGCACTGCAGTTTGCAATATTGATCCTGAGAGGTTATCAATAATATCCCTTTACCTACTTTTAACACTCAGATATTGTCCAGCATGATCATTCCCTGCTATTATTGTCATACTGATTTCCTCTCTATCTTTACATGTATATCTCTTTAACTCCTTTCAGTAACCAGTTCTTATCCAGAGTGATCATTTCTATCTATCATTGTCATAGTGGTTCCTACTCTGTCCTAATTGCTCTCTCCACCGCCACTTGTGGCAAGCTTCCAACTATGGACCAGTCCTCCAGACCCTTGTTTCTACTGTCCTTGGATATTAGTCTCATACTATGTTATTTTATATATATATATATATATATATATATATATAAAATCGACCCGGGTTCAATTCCTCCACCCCTCTCAGAGAGCCTGTCAAGCTATTGAGAATATCCCGACCTCACGGAAGAGCCTGGCAAACTCCCCGTGACATATTAGATATGCCAAAAACAGTTACAAGTTTCACAGTGGAGACGTTACTGGCCTGATAGAGCAAATCGATGAACAAGGGGAGGACAGTGCTACAGTGCTACTATGTTTTTATTTATATCCCAAAGTGAGTGTGATCATTCAATATCTGTCCCTCTCCCTCTAACTTATTTCATTCAGTTATGATTATTTCACTATCAATGTCCATCCATTTATAAACAGATTTCATGACTTCATTTTTTCCTGGCAGTTGCATAGTGCTCCATTGTGTAGATGTGCCACAGTTTCTTTATCCAGTCATCTGCTCTCGGGTTGTTTCCAGATTCTGACTACTGTGAATAGTGCTACAGTGAACATAGAAATGCAGATGGCTTTTCTGCATTGTTTTTTTTTTTGGCCAATGGGTATGGTTTTAATGACCGTTGCCTCCTTTTGGTTTTTTAGGAAGAAGAAAATGGCTTTCCAGATAGTACTGGAGATCCCCTTTCAGGTAAATGATTGATTCAGTAACTATCTGGGCTTCAGTGATGGCTAGCATGACTAAATTAAAGATAATTTGAGACTGTGTTTATCATTAACTTGTAAAATCTGCATCACGAATCTTACACTGCACTAAAGAAACTTAGCAACTGCATGCCCTGAGCAACTGCAAGAAACTCTTAAGATGTCACAAAAATCTTCAAAGAGGGATTTCTTTGAATTTATTCTTGCTTGTGAAGGGCAGAATAGGGTCTTAGACTGGGCAGAATTTAGGACTAGACAACGGTCAGAATCTAGCAGACCTCACCTCCCTTCTTCTCTGAGTTTTGGGAGACAAAGTATTGGTAGGGAAGTTCACCAGATAGAGAGCAATGGGATGTAGGTAAATTAAATCAGGGTGAGAAGAGCTGTCCACTGCCTCCATTCTCTCTCTGGGCCCTGGACTCTCAGATGGCCTAAGGGGCTGTTTTTCACATCAGGTCATGCTCCTATTCTACCTCTTCGTTTAGGTACTTGACCAAAGAAACAATCAAACTTTTCCATTTTTGTAAAAAGCAGGAACTTTGACAATATTTAGATTTCTAATTGATTAACCACTTGGAAAAATTAAACTATGGTAATAGTGTTTCAAAAATAGAAGCCTCGCCAATATTTTCTGTATATTAAAAGATGTATATTGAATGACTAAAGTCTTCAGGGTTTTCTTTTTTTCCTTCTTAAGGGAATAGATAGGATACCCATAAACAGCAGACACAGGCTTAAATCTGAAGCATCTAGTTGGGTGAGGTGAGCATGGGGGAGCATCTGAGCATCCATGCAGATGGAATATTAAGTTTCTTTCTCTATCCTGTATATAAAAATTTCTAGCATAAGTACCTGAAAACCTTCCCTGCTCAAACTTTAATCTGCACATGCGTGTATAGCAGTGTAGCACTGTCCTCCTGTTATTCATCGATTTGCTCGAGTGGGCCCAGTAATGTCTCCATTGTGAGACTTGTTACTGTGTTTGGCATATCGAATACATCACGGGTAGCTTGCCAGGCTTTGCCATGTGGGCGAGATACTCTCAGTAGCTTGCCGGGCTCTTCGAGAGGGGCAGAGGAATCAAACTCGGGTCGACCCTGTCGGCCGCATGTAAGGCAAATGCCCTACCTGCTGTGCTATCCCTCCCAAAATATTCAGGGAAATCCATAAAGGGTTGTGATTGGCCTAGGTGGTAGAGCATGGTTCCCCCCTCCCCTGCCCAAATAGAATCGTCCGAATTTTTAGATTTTGTGAACACACATATGATTTTTCTCTAGTAAAAAAATCTATCTTATTTTTAATTTAAAACATTTTTTAAAAGTAGCTTAGGAGCCAGAGCAATAGTACAGAGGATAGGGAATTTGCCTTGCACATGACCAACCTGGGTTAGATCCTCGGCATCCCATATGGTCCCCTGAGCACTGCCAAAAGTGATTCCTGAGAGCAGAGACAATAGTAAGCCCTGAGCATTTCTGAGTTTATACCCCCCAAAAACCCAAAACAAACAAAAATTAAATTAAAAAATAGCATTTAAAAATAAATATCACGATCATGACCATCCTGTTGTTCGTCGATTGCCTCGAGCAGGCCCCAGTAACGTCTCCTCGTCCTAGCCCTGAGACTTTTTAAAAAGTCCCATATTCAAGGCTCTTTCAGTGTTAGGAGAATGAGAACCATCATTGTTACTGGTATTTGGCATATTGGGTACGCCACGGGGAGTTTGCCAGACTCTGCCGTGTGGGCAGGTTACATTCGGTAGCCTGCCACATTGTCCAAAGTAGGAATGAGATAATAAGATTCACGGCCACGGGCTTCCAGGAGCTGGGTTTTATAGTCTCTGGGTCTTGGCCATTGTTGGGATTACACGGCGCCAGGGGGCCAGTTGGTGGGTGTGACCCCTGCCTACTGGAATATGGAGGATCTGGGTGGAGGATGCTCAGCCCCGATCCGAGCAGGCTTGGAGATCTCAGCCCCGGGACCCGCATACCTTTGTTCCTCTGCCAGTACCTTCATGCATGTGGAGAGTGGTCTCAGCAAGGTGGTGGCTGGTTCTGGAGGTCTTCAGCTGCCGGAGCCCTGGTCGGGGTGGGGAGGGAAACTCAACCCGCTTCCCTCCAAGGGGCTCCGGCAAGGACAGCCAGGCGCGGGGGCAGGCGATTCTGAGACTATAAGACCCAGTTCCCGGAAGAGAACAGCGCAGAGTGCAAAAATAAATATAGTTTAGTAGAAATGATTACACTAGTGTCAATATTTATGGCTTTGATATAAAAATCACTGCACCTTGACCACCACCAAAGCACTAAAGACCCTCCACCACTGTTCTCATATCACCTTTAATTTGCCTCTTCCTTAAACTTTTTAATGATATATCCCACAACCACTAACGTGAAATGTCAGCTAAAATAAAAATTAATTAAGCAAGTTGTTAAGGGCTATCTATAAATCCATCAAGGACTTGTAAGAATTAAGGTCCTTCTTAATTAACTTTAATCAAGCTTTGTGGAGTCTCTAAAACTTTTTACTTGTATTAAAATGAAATGGAAAACTTTCAAAGAGAATAAACTCTTCACAGAGATAGCAAGTAATAATACTGAGAGTAGAAACTGCTGTTGTGGTCAACGTCTTTCGCCCTTAGCGGGATGTGGTCCAGGTGGTTTATAGATGGATCGTGGGGAAGTCAGTGGATGGGTGGATTTCTTCCCAAGACCAAAGGTATTAGAAAAAAAGTTGTTTGAGTAAAGGGATAGATAGAAAATAATCTCACACATCTACAGAATTTACAGACAAATAATAGTCAGGGAGCAACAAATGGCCAAAGCAACAAAACTAGAGATTTGGTCCACAGATCTGGGAAAGAGGAATTGGGATCAGGGACCTTTAGGAACTTGTGGAAGGAAGTGGGCACTCTGGTGACATCTGTCATGTTGCAGTGCTGTATTTTAAGTGTGAAACTATGCATCATGGAACAGTACAATGCTGTTTGCAGTGACGGTACTGTAAATCACAGTACTGAAATGAAGATTATATTCCAGGAGACCTGAGTACTTAGAAAACAGGGGAGTATTAAAAAGATAGAAAAAGATACTAGAGTGATCAACCCAGCAAGTTAGACCACTACTCTGCACTTGGCCTGTTCACTCATGGGCTTTAGTTTGGGTTGGGTTGGGTTTGGGGGCTACGGTTAGCAACATGTAGGAATTACTCCCATAGGGAAGCCAAGAGCCCAGCCCAGCATCCCATGCCTGTTAGCCTATTGAATCATCTCCCTGTCTATCACAGTAGATTTTGAGAGGTCTTACAAATCTTTCAGCTTGGTGCAGATCCAGTCAGCTTGATGAATTGATCCCTGTTAAGATGGCGGAAAATAGGCACTGATAGAGGGATGGGTACTTGATCATTGTATAATTGAAACCCAAGCACAAAAATTTGTAAGTCTACAACTGTACCTCATGGTGTTTCACTAATAAAAATTAAAAAAAAAAAAAGATGGCCTCAGGTTGCAGTGATAGCACAGTGGGTAGGGCATTTGCCTTGCACATGGCCAACCTGGGTTCGATTCTCAGCAACCCCTATGGTCCCCTGAGCACTACCAGGAGTAATTTCTGAGTGCATGAGCCAGGAGTAACCCTGTGCATTGCTGGGTATAACCCAAAACGCGAAAAAAAAAAAGATGGCCTCTAGTGCTGGGGCTTTCAGACTTACCCAAATCTCTACCAGGGCTTCTCCAGGAGATTTTTAAGTGCCAATGCTAGTTATGAGTTGGTATCAGAATATTTCTTCATGGCTGGCCCAGGTGATAGTAGCTGCTATGGCAGAGGCAGTGCCCCAGCAAGCTGAATCTTTGTAGGATTAGTCTGACTGCATGCAGTGGGCTTCATGCCCCCTGGACCCTGGAAGGTACTAGAGACATGTTCTTGGATGTCCCCTAATAGGCGTGCTCAGGTATTCGGCTAAATTTTGGGTTTTGTTTATCATAAAGAATTAAATAGATATTAAGTGATGATTGTCGACTCTAGATTTATCTTATTTAAAAACACTAATTTATCTTTTATCCAGGTATCTGGCCCTTTTCTAAGCAATTGACTGATGTCACCTTCTTCTAACTACTTTGTTCATGATCCAATTATTTTCTTCACCAGAGAGTTGTGACAGATGCAGTGCTGTGTCACATGGCTGGCTCTCATGTCCTCTGTGATGTGCCTTATGTAAACATAAGCCTGTGCCTGCCTCAGTTCACCCCAACCACTAGATAAAATTTCAAGAAGACATATTTGGGCATTGATTTACTAAGACCTTCGGAGAGCCCGGCAAGCTACCGAGAGTATTCGATATGCCAGACACAGTAACAACAAAGTCTCCAATGGAGACGTTACTGGGCCCGCTCGAGCAAATCGACAATCAACGGGAGGGCCTTTTACTAAGACCTAGTCCAAATAAGGAAACAGAAAGTCTTTCCATTAGCCTCATCTAGTGACAAATGTCTGCATTTGTTCTCAATAGTCAGTTTTTCAGTGATGTTTTTCTGACTTAGGACTTGGATAATTTAAAACAAACTTCCCCTTAGAATTGCATGTTGGGGGCAGAGTATAGTAGTGGGTATGGCCCTTGTCTTCCACACAGCCTATCTGGGTTCGATCCCCAGCATCCCATATAGTTCACCAAGTCTGTCATGCTTGATTCCTAAGCACAGAGCCAGGTGTAACCCCTGAGCACCACCAGGTGTGGCCCCAAAACAAACAAACAAACAAACAAACAGACCAAAAATAAGTTTTTAAAAGTGGGTCTGAAGAGATGTACAGAGGGAGCGCACTTGCTTTGCATGTAGTCAATCTGGGTTCAGTTACCCAAACCCCATATGACACACAAAGCCCTGCCAGGAATGATCCCTGAGCATAGAGCCAGGAGTAGTCCCTGAGCACAGCTGGATGTGACCAAAAAAAAAAAAACAAACAAACAAAAAAGAAAAAGAAATGCATGTAAATGGAA